GCTCACGTACGTGGCTGGGGTGTGCCGACAAGGATGAAAAATGGCCTTTTCACCCCGACTCCAGACCGTAGGTGACTCCAGACCGTAGGTGATGGGAGGTGGCTCCCAGCCTGGGCCTCCTGCAGTCTGTTCACAGCTCCTTCTTTAGCTGAATTGCTTAATGGGGCAGGTGTTGTACATCCCAGTGAAGCGTTTGCAGCAGGATGGAAGGTGAGCACCTTGTGCCCTTCTCTCTGGAGGCAGACAGATACCCATGTCAGCAGGCAAGGCAGCCACTCTCTTCCCCAAAGTTCTTCCAAGGCAGCACCAATGAGCAGAATGTTTACTAAGCTGGAGCTGATGGGACCCACAAGGGTCCACGGGAAGCACAGACGTGTCCTTTGAGCATGGCCAGTGCTCCTCGGCCACATGCAAGGACAAGTGGCCCTGTGTTAGGTCACCTGGGTGCACACATGCCATGTGCACATTGGGACACTTGGCAGGACACCCTGGGGTAGAGCACCCATTGGGCAGGATGCCCAGGTGCTCACATGAGAGGCCTCAGAGCACACCTTGACATGTCTCAGAACATGCACATACATGACAGGCCAGCTGGGCTTGCACGCACAGGCACGAGTCATGAGAACAGGCCCAATGAAGACAGCCCACATCAAGGATTTGTGCCTCCTGAAATTCCCTGGGTGTCCCCAAGGCAGCCCAGAGTGTGGCCTCAGCACTGACTGTAACTGCTCAGACCTTTCTGCCCCCATGCTCAAGTGGGCTGCATAGAATGTTCCATGGCCTTCCACCCACACATGGACCCTGCTGATTTTTTTTGGTTTGCAGCTGCTCGGGCCTTTGCAGGTAGCAGTGCCCTTCAAGAGTGAGTTTCAAGCTGGTGAGAAGTCAGGTCCTCCTTGGTCCCCAGGCAGTTCTGTAAGCAGGACCTCTGTAGGTAGCATCCCAGACCGTGTGCTGCAGCAAGAGCAGAAACCTGGCCTAAGGCCAGAGCACCAGGCCATGTACCACCCCTCAACCCTCTCTGACCCCTGGATCAAGCGGTCACCTGAGTGGGAAGCTGGGAGGAGGCAGAAGCAGAGCTAGGGGTGGCTTTCAGTATCTTTCTCCATGGCAGGGCCCAGGGCAGTCTCTAAGTAAGCCCTCTCTGTCTCCATCGCATGGGGGGGCCCCCACAGTGAGCAGGAGGGACCTTGTCCCTGCTCCCTGCCTCTCTCCTCCCCACTCTCCATGGGCACCTCTGAGCCAGGCCCAGGCCCAGGTGCTAGAGCATCTGATGGGAGAAGTGGACTCAGTGTCAAGGTCTCCCTGCCCAAGAATTTTTCATGCCTTTGTTAGAGAAATGGGAGACAGGCAACCTCCACTAAACTCCACTGTGAAGCAGTAATTAATGTTCACACTGAGAGAAGAAAAAGGTCCATTTCTGTTGCTGCTCAGTGACTGTGTTGATTTGTGTCTCCCAATTCTGGAGGGTGACAAGCTGCCCCCACCCAAGCAAGTGGCTGCCCAGGTTTCTGGAAGAGGCCCAGGGATGGAGGCCAAGTTCCCCAGACCTCCTGTGCAGGTGCTCCTGGGGGAGCAGGGCACTGTCAGTGAGAGGTGTCTGTGTCTAGACCCTGCGGGGGTCTAGATGCCTCCAAGAGTTGTTCAGGTGATCTAAGGGAAGAGGCTGAGATGTAATGATGGTGAAGATGATGATGGTGGTGATGGTGGTCATGATGGTGATGATAGTAGTGATGATAATGGTGATGTGATGGTGATGATGGTGATGGTGATGATGATGGTGATGTGATGGTGATGATGATGATGATGATGGTGATGTGATGATGATGATGATGATGGTGATGTGATGGTGATGAGGATGATGGTGATGATGATGGTGGTGATGATGGTGATGATGGTGATGATGGTGATGGTGATGCTGGTGATGGTGATGATGATGATGGTGATGTGATGGTGATGATGGTGATGGTGGTGGTGATGATGATGATGGTGATGTGATGGTGATGATGGTGATGATGATGATGATGATGATGATGGTGATGTGATGGTGATGAGGATGATGGTGATGATGGTGATGGTGATGATGATGGTGATGATAGTGATGGTAGTGATGATGGTGATGATGATGGTGGTGATGATGAGGATGGTGATGTGATGGTGATGATGATGGTGATGATGGTGATGGTGATGATGATGGTGATGTGATGGTGATGAGGATGATGGTGATGATGGTGGTGGTGGTGATGGTGATGATGGTGATGGTGATGATGGTGATGGTGATGATGATGGTGATGATGGTGATGGTGATGCTGGTGATGGTGATGATGATGGTGATGTGATGGTGATGATGGTGATGATGATGATGGTGATGATGGTGGTGGTGGTGATGGTGTTGATGGTGATGATGATGATGATGGTGATGATGGTGATGGTGATGGTGGTGAGGATGGTGATGATGGTGATGGTGATGAGGATAGTGATGATGGTGTTGATGAGGATTGTGGTGAGGATGATGGTGATGATGATGATGGTGGTGAGGATGGTGAGGATGGTGATGGTGATGATGGTGATCATGGTGATGGTGAGGATGGTGGTGATGGTGAGGATGGTGGTGATGATGATGATGGTGATGGTGAGGATGGTGAGGATGGTGATGGTGGTGATGATGGTGAGGATGGTGATGGTGGTGAGGATGATGATGGTGGCGGCGATGGTGATGGAGTGATCACCATGATATATATCATGCCGAGTACATACCCAGCACTGTCCTAGTGCTTTGCGTATATTATTCACTCATTGAAGCTGCACAACCCTGTAGACAGGCTGTTGTCTGTGTTTTACAGAAGTGTAAACTGAGGCATGGAGAGGTCAAGGGGCTTGCCCAGGGCTGCCTGATGTGGGTAGCAGCACAGCATCCCAGTGGACGTCTGCTGCAGTTGCCCACGTTTTGGCCTCCCCACCATAGCTAGCACATCCCCTCGGGGCCTAGAGCCTGTCCTCTGCTCCATGGGCTCCCTGCTTGGAGCCCCCCAACACACACCAGGGTTACACCCACCAGGGCCACCCAGCCCAGCTCGACCTTGTGAAGGTCACCTCGCTCAAGCAACTCCTGCAAGACAGATGTGGCTCTTTTTCCCTCCTTGCCCTGATTAATTGCCTCATTCAGTTCCGACTCTATTGCAGTTAAACATTAATTCAGTAGGACTTAATAACGTGAATTCATTTACGACGTGGCCTGTGCTGGCTGACAAGGATGTGCTGTTTGGTTAATTATAGGATCCATGCACGCTCACTGGAAAGCACCCTCACCCCTCCTTGAGTGTCGGGTCATTAAGCTCTCACTGTGACACCAAAAGCTGTGGGGAGAGGTGTGAAACAGCCCAGCCTGGGGGGTTCCGGGCGCCCGAGCTGCAGTCCTGCCGCGTGCACACACAAGGCCCAACCCTCCTGGCGGTTTGATGGGACTGTGGTTTCCAAGGCAAGGGCTCAGTGCTGCTAATCGAGCAGGAAGAGGCCCGGCTGGGGGCCTCTGGCAGCTCCACCAGCAGCCTAGTCAGAAGGGCTCCTGGCCCCCACCCCTTCTCTGCCAGCACTGAGCCCCTGGCATGCCAGAGTGCAGTCCCAGCTCCGCAGGACAGGATGATGACATTCCCTGTGTTCCGGTGTGTCCCAGCCCCTCACCTCTCCAGTCGCGTCTTGCACACTCCCCTCCTTGCCTCGGGGTGCACCTCCTCCTGCATTTCAGCCACTCTGCCCTCTCCCTGGCCCCCAGAGCTGCTTGTGAAGGACTGACCTGGCTTCTTGTCATTGTGCAGCCGGGGCACTGGGCCCATGCATCCCTTCTGCCATCTGTGCAGGGGCACAACCCTGGAGGTCTCTGTCCAGGCCCTGCAGGGGGTCTGCAGGGCTTTGGGGGTGGGACGCTTTTAGCCTCAGAAGAACCCCCCCACACATGCCCATCCCCCAGGGTCACTCCCAGCTGCAGTGGGTGGCTGGTAAAGCACGGGGCCCATCCGGACAACCCTGTGAACTTTGCCATCAAGCGCACCCCATCCCTCCCCCTGGGGCGCCAAGGGCAGAGCACCCCCTCCCTGCGCTGACCAACTGGAGGACACCACACAGACAGCAAGGTGCACAGCTGACGGGGGCCTCTCACCCTCACATGTGGCCCTGGAGATTTATTTTCAGCGGTAGAATTCATTTGACACGACATGTTGTAATTGTGGTTCCTAGGAAGGGATTATTTTTCTTTATATTCTTTTAGGGGAAAATTGCCGTGGTTTCTACAAGAGCAGTCTTTTCTTTTTAAAGCTCTGCCTACTGAAGATGGAAAACAAAGATTTGTTTGCACGATTACCAACCTTTCTCTAACCAGCTGAGCGAGCACGTCGAGTGACTTATACCCAGGCCGCAGGGGCACGCGAGGCGACCCTCCCTGTAGGCAGTGCCTGTGGCCACAGGCCTGGGCTGACCCCCTCGTCTGTCCGAGGGATCCAAGCCCCCCTCTGCCCCTTCAGTAGAGCTGGGGCTGCTGAGGCTGGGCTTCCATGTCCCTGCCCAGAGGGCACCCTTGATCCCACCCCGGGCCCCCATCAGTGCCCACCGCCCAGGAGTGCGAGCTCCTCACCTGTCACCTGGACCCCCGCCTGGAGAGTCTAGCATGTGGGAGAAGGCCTGAGGGGGTCACAGGGTAGCAGCTGTCCCAAGACGGGGTGACGCTGCCCCTCGCGTAGCCCGGGGTGAGGAGGCAGGCTTCATGGCTCGCTCTGGGCCCCGGTGCCTGTCCTGGGGCGGGTGCACCTGCCTGGCTGAGCATGCTTCTTTGCCTCACCTCTGCCTGGCCCGCCCCCAGAGCCCTTCACCGAGCGCCTCGCTGGCACTCCAACCTCCAGATCCCTCCCAGGCCCCCCAAGGCCCTCTCACCCGCGAGGCCCCTCCCACAACCCCTGCCCTGCCACGGAGTGCAATGGGGCGCTGACTCTCCTCTCTCTCCCCTGCAGTGTGACAGCGAGAGTGAAGGGGACGACAAGGTAAGCCCCCCACACCTCCTCCCAAGACCCCCACCCACGGGGCTGCAGGACAGGTGGCCTCCCCACATGTCCAGGCCCCGTCTCCGCCAGGACTCCCTGGGATGGGGGACACTGTGGGCAGAGCGGGGGCCATACTGTAGGTAAGCCCCCCCACTTTCCAGGCTGGGGCCGTGAACATCACCAGAGAACTGACTTCTGCTAATAGCAGCAGTGTGTTAGCTCCTGCTAATTACCCTCCTTTTCAGCAGTTCCCGTTAACTCAGGATTTATGCACTTGGAGGGTTCAGCTCAGGAAAAACCATAGCACAGGCCTCCTTGGGGCCCTTGGTCCTGGTCATCTGCTGGCCCCTGTGTGTCCTGTGGGGAGCAGGGAAGAGGCCGCCCCGAGCTCACAGCCCAGCGGCTGACTGTGGGGCACCTACTGTGTGCTGAGCTTCGTGGAGGCGAACTGCAGCGGGGCGAAGACCCTGAGAAGCGGCAGAGCGAGACGGCCAGGCCCAGGCCTGGCACTCACTCTCTGCTTGTCGAGGCCCCCCCGGGGGGGCGGGCAGGAAATGTGACCCCCCTGACATATCCAGGGACCCCAAGAGAGGAGCCTGCCCGAGCTCACACAGCTGGCCCCCACAGTCCTCTGGGGTATGTGACCCGCGTAGCTGGAAAGGGTGGTAGCTGGTGGTGAGGCTGCAGGCGATGAGCACGCCGAGGGGAGGTGCCGAGTGTCCAGGCCAGAGGACAGCATGTTCCCCCATGCTCGTCTGGAGGCGGGTCCGCTGCACACTGGCTCCTAGGCCAGTTTTGTGAAACGGAGTGAGGTCCCATCAGGAGGTCTGTGCATGCATGACCGTGCTTCTCGCTCACCTGCTGTGTCCTGGCCTGCGTTGGGCAGGTGTTGTCCAAGGTGTGGACAGGCGGACGGCCCCTCTCAGCAGACGTACATGAGCAAGCATGGAAAAACAGGGTTGCGGAGGATGCCCGGGGTCTGGGTGACCAGCCTCGGAGCCTGGGGGGGACAGGAAGGGCCGGGGGTCATCCGTGGTGGGGGGAGCAGTGGTGTGGATGGGTGAGGAGCCCCCAGGTGTGCAAGGCGAGCTGGCCCAGAAGTCCTGCATGGGGTCTGTAGCGGGGTCTGGACCATTTGGGGAAGGTGGCTGGAGGGCGGGCAGCTGGGAATGAACTGCTGTCTGGGTCCTGGGGCAGAGCAGCTCAGCCCCCCCGACCCAGGCACTTGTGCAGAGTAGTCGCTCCTCACTCCCTCTAATGAATTAGATGAAGGGCCTCAGGAAGGTGCTGAGCTGACACCTCGCCTCCGGCACCTTTATCTGACAGCACCTTGCAGGAAGCACTCTCTGAAGCCAGGGTGCTCTGAGTGGGGTTCAGAGGAGGGGTTTCTGAGGCCTGAGACCGCTGGCTGCCCCATCCAGGGCCCCTGGCCTGTCTGCCACAGAAGAAACCAGGCTGCTACCCCCAAGCGGGTTCCTTCCGGCTGTCAGAGTCCTGACTCAGCCGCCAGGTCGCACCACACCCAGAACCTGCTCCCCCCTTCTCTCGGGCAGCCAAAGGGTTGACCCCAGCCCTCCAGGGGCCTCTGGGGCCCAGCGCAGCCTGGCCCCTTGTTCATTGCTGGCCCTGGCCTATTTGTCCCTCTACCTCTGAGGCCACCCCTGCTATCAGAGTGGGGACTCTGGGTGGTGGGGACGGGGGCGCGGAAAGGGCGGGCAGCAAGGTGCAGCTCTGACTGTGCCCCAGGAACGAGGGGTCACTTCTGGCGTGGCCATCGATGCCCTAGACGAGGCGGCAGGCCACCACCAGGGGCTAGCAGGGGCTGTAGCCATGGCCTCCTCTGCACTCACGCTGAGCGGGGAGCCCACAGGCCAGTCCTGAGCAACGCTTGGGGCCCAGCCCAGCCCAGCCGAGGGACAAGGGGGAGCAGGTGCAGTCAGAAGGGTGTGAGCAGCAGAGCTCACTCTGGATGGGTGCAGGGCAGGGTCTCGAACTCATGATTCTGGTTTTTTTCTGGCAATTCCTTGTGCACCCCAAGGGAAGAGCCCTGCCCTGGAGACTTAGGAGGGCCAGAGTCTGAGTCCCAGAGCCCCCTGACTGGAGGGACTGGCTAGGGTCTCTGTTGGGGCTCACTCCTCTGCTGTGCCAGGCGCAGCCACTTGGCCCAGCCCCCCGCTTCAGGCTGCCACTGGGGCTTGTGGCTGTGGATCCTGGGAAGGAAGGATGTGGCCAGAGTCAGCCTTCCCCACACCTGTGTGCTGGACCCCGGCTGTGGCCACAGTGAGTGGCCTACACGGGTGATGGGGTGGCCCAGCTCCATCGCAGGGCAGGTGGGAGGCCAGGCCGCCCCAATCCCCAGCTTCAGTGAGGCCAGGGCCAGAGGAGAAAGCAGAATCGCCTCCACGCCCCAGTGTCCCCACCTGTTCCATGGGAGATGGAGACACGTCTTCTGAGCCACAGTGAGCTCTGAGTCAGGTAATACGGAGTGAGTAAGCCACAGGCGGCTCCTGTTTGTGGGTGGATAGAGCCGGATGGTGCTCCAGAAAGCCCCTGGGCTGGAGAGCCAGGAAAGGGCACAGGCTTCCTCCCTGGTCACCCAGGTTTGCCCTCCCAGGAGTACCTGGGTCTTCTGCAACACTGGGGTGTATCTCTGGGCAGCTTGGGATGGAGGCCAGAGGCCAGGCTGAGACCCCATGCAACTGACCATGGGTCAGCATGGGCTGGCCAGGTGGGCACTCGGGCTGAGCCCCAAAGCTGCGTGATTGTGGGGAGGTGTCAGGGCTTCCCGGAGAGGCTGCCTGGGGCAAGGGCTCCCTGCCGGATAATTTGCCAACCACCATGGATGGGTCGTGCCTGGTCAGCACTGGCTGGGTCATGGTGCCTCACCAGGCTCTGTGTGGCTGCCTGGGCTGTCCCCTCCCCCCGGCCCTCCGTGCCTCTCATCTGGGCACACACAGCCTCTCTGCTCATAGGCTCACAAGTCTGCCCCCGCCAGATGCAGAGACCCATCCCGCCTGCACAGTCGACTCCCAGCCCTCAGTCCTGCCTTCCAAGGCACAGACACCAGCTCTCTCCCACACGACCCCACGTTGGTTAGAACCTGCATTTGACTGCTGTAGTGGAAACTGGAGTTAGCAGTGGCTTAGTAGAGGGTTTGTATTTCTCACCTAGAAGCCCAGGTGTGGGCCCTCCAGGCTGGCATGGCCTGTGCATGGTCATCAGGCTCCTGTCTCTGCTTGGCCGTCCTTGGTATATGGCTGCCTCCCTCACCCCCTTGGTCCATGAAGGCAGCTGTAGCACCAGCCACCTCATCTGCATCTCACCTCCCCACACCACTGATCATGCAGAATGAGTGATCACCTGTGCAGCGAGCCAGGGAGAATGTTGGTGCAAAATGTCCCATGGGGGCCAGAGCAGAGGGAGAGAGCATGAGTTCAGAGAGGCCACATGATGTAAACCATTAGCAGGAAGCTCAGGTTCGTTCCAAGGGCAGTGGGGAACCGCTATCCCAAGAGGTCCCTGTCCCTCCGGGCTGCATGGGGACACTAATTACACACCGTGTGAGGTTGGACAGCAAGAGAGACCTGAGTTCCTTCTGCCTCCCTCTAGCCAGGCTGGGTTCCAGGGCTTCCTCCCAGCCCATCAGGAAGCAGGTGCATCTCCACGGGGTGCAGTGCCTGCTCATCCAGAGCCGCCACCCTTCCTGTCCTCCCCCACCCCAGTCCAACTAACCTGCCATGGGCCGGCCCCTCCCAGGAGCCTCTGCCCTCTGCAGCTCCCCGCCGCCTTTCTCCAGGGACACAGCCAGGTGAGGTCTTTTGCCCCTTCCAGAAGGAGCTGCTCAGGGGAGGAAGGCCACGTGTCTCCACAGTATTTGCAGGATGGCAAAAGCCCTGATTTTATAGAGCTGAAAAAACATGGGAATGGGAGAAAGAGGCATCCCCCCGCAGCATGCCCTCCCCTGGGGCCTGTCCCCCCGCAGCACGTCCTCCCCTGGGGCCTGTCCCCCACAGCATGCCCTCCCCTGGGGCCTGTCCCCCCACAGCATGTCCTCCCCTGGGGCCTGTCCCCCCGCAGCATGCCCTCACCTGGGGCCCGGCCACCGTCCCCCCACAGCATGCCCTCGCCTGGGGCCCGGCCACCGTCCCCCCACAGCATGCCCTCCTGGGGCCCGTCCCCCCGCAGCATGCCCTCCCCTGGGGCCCGTCCCCCTGCAGCATGCCCTTCCCTGGGGCCCGGCCACTGTCCCCCTGC